TTGGTGCCAGCTTTTGTGAACAGCGTCAATCTGTATCTGCTTTCTCCTAGCTATTATTAAATATTAACCTTTATTCATTGTGCCATGGGTCCTTGTGAATAAAGGCGTTAGTTAGATCCAGTTATAGAACGTGGAGAGATAATTAACAAGAGATAACTGATAACGGACATCCATTAAACATGGCACGTGGAACTAAAACAGTCTAGCGAGCGAAATAAAGGGTTCAGTTCGACATTCCAACCACCTGAAGAAGGCCGAAGCGTACAACGGCCGAAACGTTGTAATAAATATGGCGACAAAGATGAGGATGATAGTCCGAATAATGTAAATAGTGTACATAATACCTCATCTCACAAATATAGACAAATATTATTTTTTTTAGTATCAGTTTATTTTAGCTCAGACCTTCTGAGGCTGATCTTTAAGGTCAGATGGTAGACTAAATAAGGAAGTCGTTTTTGATTTGTTAAAACTAGCGTGGGAATGTTAGAAAGGGATTTCAAGGAGTTAAGTTTTTGCACGTCATACAGAGTAGACGTAATTATTTCGTGTCTCGGGGAACTTGCTCCCCAGTGGGGGTGATAGAGCGACCCCAATGGCTAGTTAAAAATATACACTTCGACTTGTTTAATAAAACAGATGGGCTTAAAATCCCTTTTGTTGAAGTTTTCTTTTATCTCCGGACACCAAAAACATTTCGACTGACGAACGAGTGAAGATACAATGGAATCGACCCCGTCAAACAAGACTTCCCCAGAACGAAGAGGAATATGCAACACTATGGCTCAAATAGCAAGGTAAACTAATCTTCCTGTCCTTGAGTAGCAACCAGTCTAAGATAAGCATTAGCTCATTATCTTTCCCAAAAATTCATGGCAATTCACGGATAATAAAGAAACGAAATTTGCTAAGAGCCATGGTCACTATGTGCTGAAGTGACATGGTATTTTTAAAAACAAATTCCAACGTCATGGGCGTCTCAAACCCATGTCCTTGTGCCAGATTAATTTAGGATTATAACATACTGTCAGCGATTTAAGTAGACCAATGTTTTTATATAGTATATTCCACCTTCCTTCGTGTTATGGTGACCTATCTACATTAGAATGAATTCTTCCTCCTTCATAAATACTAACCTGCGAGACTTCCTAAGAAGCAGTCGGGACGCAGTTCCTGATAATGTGCGATTTCTGTCGAACTCTCTGCTTTGGGAGAGAGGAACCCGGACGAACCTTTGCCGAATGGGCAAAGTTTCGTCCGGGGAGGTAGACAGATCCCGAACCCGCTTATGCAGATTCTAAGAGAATATTTTTGGCCGAGTCTACGGGCTCGGAGAAACCCACGTTAAACTGGGCCTTGTGCCACATACATTCCTCGTGGTGGGGGGGGACTGTTAAATATTGGCAGTCGGGACGCAGTGTAACCTGACAGTTCAGATGGACACTTCTATCTGCTGACTAATAACACTCTTATTTTGTATATATGTTCTGTTATTTCAATCCACTTGTTCAACCAACCTTTTTCTTTCCATGTCTTTCTTTCTGGTCCCTAAAATGCCATAACAATTTGGTGCCCGTCACACATGACCTGATGCACCACTTTATTTGCATTTAAGTAAATAGCTATACTTTATGCATCATCTATGGACAAATCAACAACCTAAATTATTGCTTTGGTTTTTCTTCTATTAGAAAATGTGTAGATCGGGCAATGGTTAGCGGCTCAGAACAAAGAAAAAATTGCTAGCCAGGTTCGAATTCTGGTCGAGTTCGTTTTAAATTCACTTTCGTAAAAATACTTTTGGGATAGGTATAAATCCGTCTTCTCCCATCTATGGGTTAAATAACAAAGTAAACTTGGGTCTGTGGCTATGTTTGATAACCAGTCTAGGAGAAGGACAATTCCGAGTTCAAAATCGTATATAGTCCTGGCGAGGTACAAGCTCTAAATGGAAAAGATTTCACAATAAAATGCGGTGAAGAGTAGTGGGCTTGATGATGTCGATGAAGGCGGGGGTGATCAGCCAATCCTGAACGACACCGTGAATGTAAACTTTTTACATAGGCCTATTATTGCTATAGTAGAATATTTAAGAGACTTCCTCAAAACCCGTACCTGAATCCTGTAACCAATTGGCAAATTCCATTTCCCTACCCATACCCTTTACGTCAAACACACACGGAGCATCATACAGTGTTTCTTGATATTTATTTCTCGCTATGGCACGTTTTAAATTAGGCGTAGCATTGTGCAATTGAATGCATATTCTGCGCATGTAGACAGCATTAGGTGCGTCAGTCTAAGCGTATTTAGGACAAATATAATCAAGTTGCTTTAACTTGCGAATATGCTTTTACCATCGTCCAGGTGCACGGAAGACAGCCAGGGACGAGAAGGCAATAAAAACTGCCCACTTACATAACTTCCCGTTTTAAAAATTATCTTTCATTTCGCTCTTTTCTCTTTCTTCCTCTTTTTATTACATTCAGCATATTATGAACATCCCTCGCACTATTTGGACGTATGTGTGCCGCCTCATAACGAAGATTTAAATGCAGTAGCTCTTATACATAAACACATTTTCCAGTTACTAGCAATAAACGAGAAAGGTGAAGTATATCAAAATTCGTAAGGAAATGCTCTTAAATGCTTTCTTCAGATGAAACTCACCAATTTCATAGGATTCTTTCAGAAGTCTGTGTGGATGTTCTTGGCTGATAAAAGCAATAATAGTCTAGGAACTGAAGGAAACCTAGTATATATATATATATATATATATATATATATATAAAGAAAGAACAGTAAGATATATAATCCGGTGTTCTTATAGATATTTTTATTTTTACAAAATAGTGCTCAATGTAAATTTACAGAGCATTAATATTATAAATTAATTGGTTTAAAATGTTTTTTTTCGCTACACAGTTCTAACCATGTTTCAAAAATGGAAGCTGAAAGCTCCGAATTTAATTTTGTAATAAAATTAAAGACATTCGTTCCATTTCATCCTCAAGCGAATTTTGGAGTAACTTTTAAAATTACTGGGTTTTAAAGACACAGCAAAAATCATAATTCACGTTTCCAAGGATACAGAGAAATCCAATTCAACCAAAAATTCGCTCACACTCATATGGACACCGCCCCACCCATACACGCACATACACACACACACACACACACACATTATATATATATATATATATATATATATAAAGAGAGAGAGAGAGAGAGAGAAAAGGTTACTGAATGGGGAATAACCAAAACGGAGGTTGGAAATGTAATTGTAATCTTTATAGCATCAACAAAATACAATACTCGCCAGCGGCGTGAAGTAGGTAAACCACTGCTAGTGGTGGACTACTTAGACATCATATTTCAATATTTATTTCTGTGGAATATACAGAAAATGTGGCACAAGGCCTAAAAAGGGGGCTAGGAGAAAAGGACAGTCTTCATCTGTCTTAATTTTAAACTTAGCTAGACACAAGCACTGACCCAAGCATACAAACAATATTCCTAAGACCAAAACAACACATTCTTACTAACCTTTCTTGCTACATCCACCATAATACCTCATTGTCTCAGTGAAAATCCTAAATATTTCCCATATGTACAAATCGTTGTTTTTTTGCGGGGGGGGGGGAATAAAACAACAAATTAAAAAGATCCCCAATGATTATATACAATATGAATTAATCTATTTACAAGAAACTAAACAAAATCATTATTAGTAATAACGCCCCCGGTAATCCTTAAATTTGGCAGAAATATCAGTTCACTGGACGAAATCAATGCGAACCTATAAGAATATAAAAAAAAAACATTCATTCATCCTTAGCACTCACACAGACACGCACTCATCCAGACAACAACAAGAACGAAAAACACACACAAGCGAAAACAACGAAAAGCGCCCCACATCCACCAGAGAATTGACATCACTGACCACCTTACGAGCGAGGGGATGGGGGATTAAACTAATGAAAAATAGGGACAGGAATAAAAGGGGCCAATGAGCAAACACACCCTAGCTAGGTTTACTAGAAAAAAGGAAAAAAACTAAAGATTCAAAAACAAAACCTACACTAACCTAATTTCGGGATGAGTTGCCCAAGTTTAACCCAGGAAGAACAATATCTGGATGCTTAACCGGCATCAAAATGCCACTCTAGGTCAGCCCCTTTTACACGGCACAAATGCGCAAGAGTCACCCACCTTTTGTCAAATTCTGATGAGGTGAGCCGCCGCCTTTCCGTCCTAATCTTGACTTTAAGCTGATGCTTAAAGAACAAGATCAGTTGGGAAGAAGTGAATTGTTCGCCCTCGTAGAATTCCTTCTTACGCGTCGTCCAAATCACGACTCTCATAACCCCTAGCAAGCAAAAGAACACATATTGTTCAGCCTTTGTCATCTACGGCACCACATTGCTACAAACAGAACTGGCTTCAAGGACAAAGAACTTTCCTTGCAGCATGTGAACCATGAGACTTTCAACAAACCTGCACAACGGCACTACCACTCTGCAATTAAAGAAGGCGTGACCAATAGTATCGATTTCCCCACTACAGCGACGGCAGTTTAGAGATTTCTCCAAGCCCACTGAACAAAATCTTTTGGCGACCCAGAGGGCCCTACGAATCATCAGCCAGGTGAGAGATGCCTCATCATTATTTAGGCATTTCACCCCGGGCGCCCAAGGCCATAATGAGCGATTCTCCTGCTTCGTAAGACCGAGCTCGTCAATCAGCTCATCACGCACGTCCCGCCCCCCGACTAACACTTGATATAATGCCCTATGAGATAACAACTGGACGTTTGAGAGGCCACCCGACGCCCATAAGAGGCGTTTCAGAGCAATGCGACATTCACGATAGCAGGAGCATTCGGCTTGGGGCAAACGGTGGGACTCCTCCTCGCTCGAGGCAGTTGGAGATGGAGACAAAGGCCTTTCGATCCACCATCAATTCAAAACTCCATCCCTCGGTCAGATCGTCGGAGG